GGCTCTGCCCCTTTCCTGCCTGTAGTGCACGGGGCAGAGTCCTGTGGGCTGGAGTAACCATTCAGGCGTTCGCCTCACGACCTGTGGTTTTAGAACACTGGTACGTGTGGCACAGAGAACCGGTGTTTATTTCCTAACCTCAAGGAGCTCAAGGGTGGGCAATGGGGCGTATGAAGTCACGGCTGCTTGATTCAGGGGGTCTGACTGCCGGGAGGGCCAGGGCTCCCTCGGGGATGCCTCATCTCTGTGCACTTAAGACCGAAGGCCAAGTGTGGGACAGAAGTTTTTCTGATTTTTTTTTTTTAAGCTGCATGTGGGGTGACACTCCCCTACGCCACTGGCAGAAAAGCTGGTCGGTCTAAACCATCACCTTAAACACAGCAGTCAAGGAGGAAGGAATGACGCTGGACAGGACAGCCGTGCACGTGTGTGTAGCTTCCCATCCCTCAGGGTGCTGTGTTCCTCATGTAGCGGCGTATTGCCACATGCCTTGGGGGAACAGCCCACAGCTCCGTTCACTAAGAGGCGGGTGAGCGTTGGAGAGCCAGCGCGCAGTTGGGGGCCGGCAGGGGCACAGGTGGCCTGAGGCCCAGTTCCGCTGCCTCCCAGCTGGACACTCTGCCCCACGTCTGCTCGGTGCTGTGTGCAGGACCTGTGAGCCGTTCCCCTAACTGACGTGGCAACACACACCGCCGTGTGCGTTCCTTTACAGCCGACGCCGGGGTTGGCGTCACGCCCTTTCTGCGGCTTTGCGTCTCATTACACTGACTTTCCTGGTCGTGGGTTAAGTGGGTGGTCAGCTGAAGCTGAGCTCCGCTGGAGCCAGTAGATCCCCAAGGAAGTAGGTTTTCTCTTCAGCCTGAGCCTCATCGCCACTGTCCCCATCCGTGTCCCCGTGAGCTATCGTGGCAGGTCTGGTGGCCCATAGGCCACAGTCCTTGTCCTGCTGTGGCCACACCATCTGGTGCCTCCATGCCCAGGGTGGCCCCACAGAGGAGCCACCCGAAGATGCTCCAGCAGGCTGGTCTTTTCACACACGGTCGGAGGCTCTGCTTCTGCCCCGGCCCAGGTGGGAGGCCCCCGCACCATGTTGAGAGGTGGAGGGGAGGGCTGGGGTGCAAGGTCCCCAGAAGTGACCAGCGCAAGACGGGTGTGTCTCCTTTTAGGCGGGAAGTCTGTGTTCTATAAAGACAACCACTTGCTGTGAGTTCACCACTCAAAGACAGGACTTCTTGTGAATTATGCAGTTTTGGTGGTACATGCTGCTTAAGTAAAGGAGACCCCAGTAATTACGTGGTGTTCCTAATCACCGCAGTGGCCGTGGCCTGGGAGCGCCGTAGTGTGCAGGGGGTGGGCCCCCGCAGCAGAGGTCCCTGTCGTTGCCCGCAGTGAGTTGCAGCGTCACTCTATAGCTTCTCCTAAGCAGCTCAGCAGAATTTTTCTTACCTGTTGTATGGTGTTCTTGAAGTGGCGGTTTATTTTATTCCTTGTAATCGGTAAGTTTAAAACGTTTGTTTTTCTCCTTTGCAGCAGCATGGCCAGCCCACGGACCAGGAAGGTACTTAAAGAAGTCCGGGTGCAAGACGAAAACAATGTGAGCGCTGCCTCCCGTCCATGCTTTCCTCAGGGCCAGCTGGCCTCCTGGGAGTGGCGAGCGGCTGTCGCGCCCCTTCTGGTGGTTGGCGCGGCGCTCGCGGTGCATGGCTGTGCGGAGCAGGTTGGGGGCGAGCGGCCGACTGCTGGAGCGGGGCTGTTTCTGGTGCTCGCCAGGGTGTGTCCACTCAGTCTTCCCATCAGACACCTCATCGCCTGGGAGGCTCTTTCCCTTCAGGCTTCGCCCCAGCCCACTGCCTGGCCACTGGCTTGGTTTACACAAGCTCTTGTCCAGGGCTGGCTCCTGCTGCCTGCTCTCTTTAGATGTCACCTGTTGGACCCTTGGGGGTCCCTGGGCTCTGCCCTGAGCCACCTGGTAAATCGTTCGTGGCCCTCTGCAGGTTTGTTTTGAGTGTGGCGCGTTCAATCCCCAGTGGGTCAGTGTGACCTACGGCATCTGGATCTGCCTGGAGTGCTCGGGGAGACACCGCGGGCTTGGGGTGCACCTCAGGTCAGTGTCCTGCCGTCCAGCCTCTGCGGAGATCCCGTGTCTAACCCGGCCCGCTCCAGGGACACCATGGCACAGGGTTTCAGCCGGCTGGCGCTCAGCCACGTGCAGCTCCTCAGGCTGTCTGATTCACAGCCTAGTTTTGGTGGGGAGGCCCTGGGTGTCCCCACTGCTTGGTGATTAGGTCAGGCCTCTGGTTTCCAGCTTTGTGCGCTCTGTCACCATGGACAAGTGGAAGGACATCGAGCTAGAGAAGATGAAGGCAGGTGGGAACGCCAAGTTCCGGGAGTTCCTGGAGTCCCAGGAGGATTACGATCCCTGCTGGTCCCTGCAGGAGAAGTACAACAGCAGGGCCGCGGCGCTGTTCCGGGATAAGGTAATGACAGGCCCGACTCGCTGGTGTCGCACCTGCTGCACCCCTCGCGGCGCCTGGACCGTGGTATTCGGTGGTTCTGGAAGTTAGAATCCTCCATCAGTTCTGACATGCCGGTCGGGGCACAGTTCAGGTGCAGACAGGGATACCAGCCCCCTCCTCCAGGGCAGCACCTTCTACCCGGAGGAGAGACAAGTGTCTCGTAGTTAACAGACAAAAGACCTCCCCAACGCCAGGCAGAAGGGACTGTGATCCGTAATGCCTCCGTTGCACCTGGGTGTGATACTTCTGGAAATTGGGGGCCTGTGTGTGGGTTCCTGTGCGTTCGAAGTTGGAGCGGCACTGCTCAGGAGCTCACCAACGCTGTCGTTCATCACGGCCAGTGAGACCTGCTGTGTAGACCTGAGCCTGTGGCTGTCGAGGCCTGGGAGGAGGCTGCATGTGGTGGTGATCCGGGTGGGCCGTGGCTGGCCGCACCTGAGTAGATGGGTCCACGGATGGCACCAGACATGGCGTGCTAACTACCTGTGTCCCCTTGTCAGGTGGCCACCCTGGCCGAAGGCAGAGAGTGGTCTGTGGAGTCCTCGCCTGCCCAGAACTGGATCCCGCCTCAGCCCCGGACGCTGCCATCCACCACCCACCGGTAGCTGCTCCCCTGCCTGCGAGTCAGGCCTCAGCCCTGTCCCCTGCCAGGCCCTGACCTTAGCCATAGCTCAGGGTCCCCGCAGAAGCCTCAATTTCTTGCTGTCATGGTAACAGCTACAATTGTGAGCTGTTGCTTCCCAAAAGCCAGGGGGAAAAACGGCTTTTTAAAATTTCCCAGACACTATAAGCCTTTAGTAAACATTCAATCAATAAAGACACATCTAAAGTAAAAAACAGTACCTCCCTGCTCCTCGGGGGTGAGCCCCACACAGCTTCTCCCAGAGGTGTGCGCACCACGCATTGCAGCTGCGCAAGTCGTGGCGTCCTGGAGCTGTGGACGGCGTTCCCCGTCTCCATCTGCTCTCACTGCAGGGAGTGTCCTTGTGGAGGTTGGTGGGGAGGGACTGGGTCCCAGAGGACCCCTGTGTATGCTGGGTGCCCAGGGCCCGCCCCATCCTCACTGGAGCCCCGGGGCCCTGCCTCCTGCAGCTGCTGGGTCCGCGTCCAGGTACTTCTGGTCCTGGCACCGTTGATGACTTCTGCTTGTTCCCGGTCCTGCCCCCTCCTGCCCCACCCCCAGCTGCCTTCCCGCCAGTGTGGCAAGCACAGAGCCGCTGTCAAGGCCCCTCTGACGCCTGGGCTGAATGTCACTGGGAGTTCAGCAGCTGTGACCCGAGCAGCCTTTTGGACAGAGCTGGAGGCCGGCCTGGCCTCAGGTGCTCTCGGGTCGTGTGAAGGCACCTCCCAGGGGGACCACGTGGTTCCGGTGGGTGCTGGTGGGGCTGCCGTGGTGCCGGCCAGTTCCTGCCTTACCCTCCACCCAGCGTTGGCATCACCAACCTCTGGCTCTTGGTTTCAGAGGCCCCGGCCAGCCGCAGAACATGACTGCCGCCTCCGACAAGGCTTTTGAAGACTGGCTGAGTGACGACCTCAGCTCCTATCAAGGGTGAGGCCTCGTGAGCAGGGTCGGCTCAGGCAGGCGGCCCTTCCGGGGCTCGGTCTGTTGGGCGGGACTGCTTCCTTCTGTGCGCAGTGGGTGCGGGCGCCGAGCGTGCGCTACGCGGGGCCCAACTGTGGCCAGCCCCAGCCAGCCCAGGTTTTAATTGGGGTCTTGAGTGTAGAAAAGACCTAATACTTAGGGAAAAAATAATATATTTTTTCCCTGGGAAATACCTGACCTGCAGGTGAATTTTTATCCCTGAAGCTGTGTAAACTGTTCCTACCTTTCTCCCAGTAACTCTCCACCCAGGGTTTGGGGCTTGCAGAGGGTCCTCTGGCCACATGGCCAGGGGGCTTTTTAAATGAGCAGAGAGGGCAGGACTCCGTGTGCTGCAGCTGAGCCGTGGAGGCCCATGCCCCACCAGGTGCACGCGTGCGTCCTGTTCATGGTGGAGGCAGCAGGTCCCCCCGGGCCCAGCCCCACCTCTGTTCCAGGTCCCAGTGCCTGCAGGGGCACAGGGCTCGCACCAGCTGCTGCTTATTGGTGCTTTGCTTTCAGGGCCCAGGGCAATCGCTACGTGGGGTTTGGGAACACGCCGCCGCCTCCCAAGAGAGAAGACGACTTCCTCAACAACGCCATGTCGTCCCTGTACTCGGTGAGGATGCTCGAGCCCCGTGGCGCACGCCTCCCGTGGTAGGCCTGGCACAAGGGGCCGCCCGGAGCCACGGACGGGGGACCCACAGAGCGCAGTGCCGTCAGTCACGGATACACAGTTTAGTTCTGTTGAGGCCCCTCCCTACCATCAGTGAAACTTTCTTCTAAAGTGTGGCTTAAATTAGTCATATCTGAAATGTATTTAGTCACTTTCCTAACTTTTGGCACAAAACGTATACTTACAACCTCACCACGTCTGTGTTCCTAAAGAGCAGGTTTCCTCTGGAGCCCACGTCGCCCTCCTCTCGGGGAGGCGAGCCCGGCGGGCAGCCGGCTCTGGCGGGATTCCGTGGCAGAGGCAGCGCAGGGAGCTGCACGGGCGCGGCCGCCCGCTCTGGGCTGGCAGTGCCCGGCCTGGGTGCCCCTGCCTCTTGAGGGCGCCTGGAGCTCAGGGCAGGTGTTAGGTGTGACCCTGGGCTGGCTGCCACTTTTCCAGGCAGGGAAATGACTTTTGTCAAACTTTCACCTTCCAAGGATATTGTTACTGTTTTTTAAAAACGATTTTCATTCATTGCAGTGTTGCTGCCTGCAGTACCAATAACTGCAAACCACCCGCAGGCCTCGCCAGTGAGGCCAGTTAGACGGAGTCAGGGCGGCCATTGCAGATGCCGCCACATGAAGGGACGAGGAAGGTTTTCAGTAGCAACACGGCGACCTGCAGCTGCAGGCGCAGAGCAGGGTGGGCACGGCGTGAGAAGGGGCGACACAGGAATCTGTTTTCATGCTGCGTGTGCACGCGAGGGCACTGGGCAGACGGCCACGGCGTGGTCGGGGCCGACCACATGGGAGATGCCCAGCACTGTGTCTTTGAACCATGTGCGTTCATTATTCCAAAAACGAATGAACTTTCTGTTCAAAAATTATATAAAATGGGTCTCTTCACCTCCAAGAGCCCCACGAGTGGATCTCAGGAGCTCCGGGGCGTGTAGCTTCTGGTTGCTCAGGGCAGGCTGGGGCAGCCGTGGTCACATTCTCTCACAGTCGTTGCCGGACCTTCTCTAGGGAAGAAAAGCACGATTTTAGCTACGGCCGGTCGGGTTTGTCTTGTATTTCTGTTGTCCAAACACAGCTAAGTTTAGTTACCTTGCAAAGTGGAGGGGCTTCTGCATTTCTTTGAGGAGGCAGAGAGTAAGTGGTGATTTAATTGAGATGTTTATATTTGTAAATAGCTACACTTTACTTTGGAGGCTTAGAAGAAAGCAGCCTTGACCGTGGATGGACAGCAGGCCCTGGTGGCAGCTGGCAGCCCCGCCCACGGCCATCCATCTGCTCCTCGCTGGGGGGTGGGAGGAGCGCCAGCTCCGGGGCCTGCAGATGGGCCGAGTGCGGACGCTTTGCCACCCAGGTGCTCGTGGGATGAGCCTCGTTTCCGTGGTCAAAGCAGGAACAGCGGAGGTGTCTGAGGCACCCTCTGCACAGTCACTCTTTCAGGCTGGGGCCTGGGGCAGCGCACGCCTGCCGTGCATCGGGGCTGGGCACAGCTGTGTGGGGAGCCTTGACCCGGGCTGTTTCTCTCGCTTTCCTCAGGGCTGGAGCAGCTTTACCATTGGAGCCAGCAGGTTCGCCTCAGCCGCGAAGGAGGGCGTAAGTAACCGTCCCCAGTGTTCTGCTGGCCGCTGCTGGCCTAGGGTTCTGGGAGCCGTGAGGACATGTGGGCAGCGGTCCTGGGGACGCTAGTCCTCCGTGCATGGGCCTGACTCCCCAGCCAGGGAGGTCCTCGGGCCTGGACAGCTCTGCAGGACCACGCGGCAGTTCTTGCTGCGGCCCCATGCCTCCCTCCGTGTCAGAGGTGGCCTTGCCCGCTGGGAACGGGACAGGCGTGGCCCTGACTCATCCCTGGCCTGGCGAAGTAGGTCATGGGCACCTCGTGCCTCTTAAGTTTCCGCGTCTGGGTCTTACAAGTGGTGGTCTGATGGTCGGGTTTTGTGCCTCGCCCTTGCCTGCCCTGGGCTCGAGGACGGGAGGATTTGGGTCGGCCAGGACAGCTGTGGCACATGAGGCAGTGACTTGGCGAGCAGGGGCACTGAGGGGCAGGCCTCAGACCCGGGGAGGCGTGGGCCTAGAAAGGAGCACTGGCCCGGCCTGGGCCGTGGCCATGGTGTGAGAGGTGGAGAGGGGTCTGAGAGAGGAGGGAGAGCCCAGAGCCAGGGCTAAGGGCCAAGGCCGACGGCCCAGCCTGCTGAGCCAGGACAGACGGCCCTGGGCACCTGGAGCTGCCCCGGCAACAAGCCGGAAGCCTCCCTGGTGCTCTCGGCATGAGTGAAATTCAGGGACCACCGGCCAGGTGCTCCCCACGGCCCTAACAGGCCCTATTCTGCCGTTCTGCCCTGTGAGGAACCCAAGTCCTTGTTGAACAGGGCAGGGGGCCCTGCAAGGGGCAGTGGGCCAGGCGTCCAGGGCACCAGCTCTCACAATGCCGTGGCTTTGCCACTTGGCTGCTGCTGGTTCCCGCCAGGGCCTCTGCTTCCTCGTGTCTGAGGGCGGCTGTGGCCAGGGCGCTCAGGGTGCCTCCAGCTGGGTGTCCCTGGCCAGGTCTCTGCTCCTTTCTCGCGTGTGAAGGTGATTGGGGTGCGGGGCCCTGGGCTGCTCAGGCCTTGTCCTCTGCACCAGGGCCCTGGTCCTGCCACAGTCTGGAGCATGGCGCTGGCCCTGCTGTCCCCCAGCCCTGGCACAGCACTGGTGTGACCCGGCTCCAGCCCCCACTGGGCTGGCGCTTGTGCTAACCCAGGCATGGCCCACAGCTCCTCTGGGCACGCGGGAGCTGCTGCCGGGCGGGAGACAGTGCAGGAACTGAGTCCATCGAGTCCCGCAGGGGTGAAGCCTCATGGCCAGTGCAAGGAACTCGATTAAAGGCTCCGTCTGTTTTTATTTTAGGCTACAAAGTTTGGATCGCAAGCAAGTCAAAAGGTAACGTAGGAGCAGCTTTCATACTCCAGTGTGTTTTAAAACTGAGATTCCGAGTCTGACACCACATGGAGTGTCTGGAAGCTGCCTGGTTCCCCCTTCTCGGGCCACACGCACAGGGCCTGGGTCCCAGCCTAGAAGGGAGGGACGTTCCTGGCATCGGTGTGGTCGCCTTGTGTGCCCGTGCAGTTCAGCAGGGGAGTAAGGGGCCGGGCTGGCTTGGGCCCTGCAGGGCCAACTCTTCTTCCCGGCCGTTGGCAGCTGGCACAGGTGTTAGGCCACCGTGCGGTGACCACCCCCTTTGGGAGCAGGACGCCCAGCTTAGCAGTCGAGCTGTGGTCAGTGCGTCCTCCCGCTGCAGGCGGTGGCGGCCTCAGGCCTTGGCCTCGTTCCTTCTTCAAGGCTCGGTTGGTGGCCCCCAGTTCCTACATGGTTGTTGGGGCTGTGGTCAGGAGCCACCTCTGCAGGGTTGGGGTCAGAATCACCTGCGGGAGGCTGCGGCCATGTGGGCTTTCCAGGCGTGGAGCTGTGGGTGGCCTTTTAGGACGTGCTCCCCTCACCGGAGAGGTCCTCCCCGTCTCGTGCTGCTAGTTGCGGCCGCAGGGACGTTGCCCCGGCTCCGTTTCAGGCTCCTGAGCCGCATTGGTTCACGCGGTTCTGGAATGGATCAGTTTGGAGTAGAAGCTCAGTCGGGCTCCAGGCAGGAAGCAGCTGGCTCTGAGGCCACCTTTTGTGACACCCACCTCACCCCGTGGTGCGCGTGGAGGAGCCTCCTGGTTGTCGCTAACGCTGCTCCCCACCTTGCTCTCTCCTGTTTCTCTGCTGTCGTGGTAAAGTTTTGGGGTTACAAACAGCAGCCAGAGCCGGTAAAGCCCGTGTCTGCTCGTGCTCCGCGGTGCCTGCTCAGCATGCGCTCGGCTGCCTGTCTCTGCTCTGCTCTCGTGTGCGCAGACCCTGCTCCCTGGCCCATCACGGCCGCAGCTCCTTTAAGATCCAGGACCTGGGCACTGCCTGTGGAGGTTCCGGCCAGGGGCTGCTCGGCGAGATTTTCATTTCATGGTTTAATTACCTTGCACTGAATCTGGAGGAATCTGTCCTGATGAGGAGGCTCTTTCTTGTGTTGCGGAATTCTTCCGCTTAAATCTTTCACCTGTGCTTGTCCCGGCCTTGAGGGGTAGGGGAGCCCCCTCACGCCACATCCCCAAGCCCCTGCACCGCGGGGACACCAGCGTCAAGAGAGGCTGAGCTCCATTCCCAGTACCTGCTTCCTGCGGCCAGGCCTCTCTGCCCCTTCCCTCCAGGTGGGCTCTGCCACCCCAGGGAGGGAAGGGGACATGCCGCATCAGTGAGGAGTGACCGCCGCTCGTGTCGGCACTTGGGCTCGGCTCCGGGGCCGGCCGGTAGGTGGGGGCTGCTGTTGACTCTGGTCCTCACAGAGCTCACGGGCTCTGCGAGGCGCTCCCGCCAGCTGCCCCGTGTCCGTGGGCCCTTCCAGCAAGAGTGTGGGCAGGGCAGTGGTCTCGGCATTCTTTGGCGGCTGTGTGTGCGTTGGGGAGTCCTGTGACCTGTGACCCTGCTGCCCTGTGCTTGCGTCCCGCTGCCGTCCCTTCTGTTGGCGAAGCTCAAGCTGTCCTTGGCGGGCCCATGCTGCCGCATGCTGGCTGCGTCCGCGGCGAAGGCTGCCATGCCAGGCTCACGCGCTTCCCTCCCTGCAGGCTTCGGAGCTGGGCCACAGCCTGAGCGAGAGCGTCCTCAAGCCTGCGCAGGAGAAGGTAACAGGCAGCTGCCTCTGGGGTGGGCACTGCCGTCCCCGACCTTCCACTCGGGAGGTGGCTGCGTGGGCATGCACCGGGCCGGGGCACGTCGTTTGTCCAGCAGCTCGGATTGCCCGGGTTCCAGACTCGGCCTGGCCTGGCGCCCGCTCCTCTGCCCTGCCAGGCTGCAGTGCGCAGAGGGGGGCGGGGGTGGTGCCAGCCTGTCCCCGGGAGGTGTGGGTGACGTAGGGATGTTGCAGAGGCCATCTTGGGGGCCACGAGCCCCACTAGCTCATCCCCTTGGCACAACAGGGAGGTGGCAGGGCCCCCAGGGAGCCCGCCTCAGATAAGCAGGGGTCATCCCCTAATACACGTTGTCATCTGCCACCAATGGCCACAGGTGCCACGTTCTCCAGAGCTTACCATGGCATAGTCTTGTGATGCTGAAATCATTCTGGGGCCACTGTAGAGCTTTTTGGGACTTACGTGACAGGGTCTCCCTGCCCTCGTGGCTGTGTCAGGTGCTCTCACGCCAGTGGTTCCCTGCACTCCTCTGAGGCTTTTGTCGGCCCCTTGCCCATGGCTGACGTTGTGTTGTAATCTGTGCAGGTGAAGGAGGGGAGGATTTTCGATGACGTGTCCAGTGGGGTCTCTCAGTTGGCGTCCAAGGTAGGGCAGGCCCCGCCTGACGTGCGGGCACGGCCAAGCCAGTCTCCACATCCACAGCTGGCGCGGGGCAGGAGCGCAGGGCACGTCCTCGGCATGAGGAGGGCTGCCCGCTGCCCGGAGGCCTGAGGGATGTGGAAACAGCTTGCACGGGGGCTGGTCAGCCGCTAACTCTCGTCTCTCCTCTGCCCCTCTCGCTGCCGCTGGCCTTTCCCTCGGTAAGTGCCGGTGCCCGGCGCGAGCTGCTGTCATCTCGCTGCTGCCACGGGCTGTTTGGGGCGTGCGTTTCGCTCTGTTTCCAGCAGGAGGTGCTGTGTGGACGGGAGGAATCCTGGGGGACCTTGCGCCCACCGTGAAGAGCAGGCCGTGTCTGCAGGGGGCCTTCCTTGCTCCCCTCACCCCCGTATGTGGGCGTGTTTGGGCACAGCGCGTCCGCACACGGGGCTTTCCTGGCTGCAGCGTCCCGTGTTTGCCTGAGCACTGCTGCTGTGTCGCTGTGTGTTGTGTGTGTGTCGTGTGCCGTGTGTGTGAGGCTCCTCTTATTCCTAGATCTTAAGCTGGGTCTTCTCAGCAGGGCAGCGTGAATTGGCTTTCAGGCTGGGCTCTCTGCGAGCACCCTGTGTCCCCATCTCCTTCCAGGTCCAGGGAGTCGGCAGTAAGGGATGGCGGGATGTCACCACTTTTTTTTCCGGGAAGGCAGAGGACCCCTCAGATGGGTAAGCCATGTCCCCACCAGCCCTGTGCCCCCGTCCTCCAGGTGAGCGGCACCCCTCCTGGGGAGGGCGGACAGATGGTGGGGGCCGGGATGGCCATGCAGAAAGGCCCCGGGTGCCCTGCGGATGCAGAGAGGCCCATCTGCTTGCTCTGTGGGTCCCACAGGAGCCACCACTTCCCAGGACGGGTTGAGGGGAGCCTAGAGGGGGCCCTGCTCTGCGATTCTGCTATCTCCCAGGCCCTGGGTGGGTGGCGTGGGCGGGGCCTCAGAGGCCCCTGGAGGGCACCAATGCCCAGATCCGGGTCGGGGCCCCGTCCCTGCCATGGCAGGGGCATCTCTCCTTTGGGCGCTCAGTGGTGTGACTGCAGCTGAGCAGGGCAGGTCCTGCCCATCCCCAGCCTCTGTCCCCAGTGCCAGGCCACCCAGCCCCGTTGAGCTGGTTCTCATCATAGTTGGGAGGTGGTAGAAAAGGAATTTTTCTTTCAAATTGTCCTCTGGCTCCCTGGCGACGTTCTCAGCTCCAAAGCGAGAGAGACAGCTCCCACTTGCTGTGTGTGCTGCCGATCGCGAGGGCGGCCTGGGGTCACTTTCCTGGCAGAGGCCCTGGCAGAGCTGCCCGGGGACGGGGTTCTGAGTTGGGGGGCCGGGCTCCTGGGCTCTTTGCTGGCCCTGGAGTCTGCTCTCAGCCGACAGGCCAAGAGCAGCCCAGGCTGCCAGGGCCCCGCGGTGCAATTTCTGGGTTTGTAATAGCTGCTCAGAGTTCCCCCACTTCTAAAAGACCCCCAGAGGGCCACGGTTACCAGAGCAGCGGCGGGGACAACTCGCAGAGCAGCACCATAGACCAGAGCTTCTGGGAGAGCTTCGGAAGCGCTGAGCCCTCCAAGGCCCGCAAGTCCCCAAGCAGTGACAGCTGGACGTGTGCGGACACCTCGACGGAGAGGAGGAGCTCGGACAGCTGGGAGGTGTGGGGCTCGGCGTCCAACCACAGGAACAGCAATGGCGACGGCTGGGAGAGCTGGGAGGGCGCTGGCGGGGAGGGCAGGGCCAAGGCCGCCAAGAAGACGGCGCCACCGTCCGCGCCTGCCGACGAGGGCTGGGACAACCAGAACTGGTAGGGCCCTGCACACCCCAGCCCTGGTGCCCTCGGGTCCCTGCGTGTTTGCACTCTGCCCTTCCTGTCCGCCCCCATCCCACCCGAGAAACGGCCACCGGTGTGCGCACAGCGTCTCAGGAGGCAGGGCCCTGGGGACTTGGTGCCGTCTGGCCGAATGGGGCTGGCTTGCTCTCCAGGGCCGTGTCGGGGACGCCTGCCCATCCTGTACCCTCTGAGCCTCCTCCTCAGACTCTGCGGGGTCTCGGACCGGACGCCGTCCGCTGCCAGGTGGTGGGTGCGGGCGCAGAGCCCTGGGACCACCTGGCAGCTGATTCAGAGAAGCATCCCCGGGGGCTGGGACCACGTCATGTGTGATGCTGTCAGTGGCAAGAGTTGTTCTTTTTCCCTGAAATGATTTTTTTTTTTTTTAACTGTTAAAGGTTTGCTCTAGTTCTTTTTTTCTTTTTGAAGAAAATGTCTGGAGTTTTAAAGGTGGAAATACCAAAAGCAATACCAGAGCTCGCACTGCCGTCCGACCACCCTCATCTCCCGCCCGCGTTGCATCTCACTGGCCTTTGCTGTAAAACTCGCCTTTTTCACCCCCGGCGGGTCCTACGTGGGCGACGTACAGTTCCGTCTCGCCAGACCAGCGCCCCTCAAGTGGCCGCGCCCAGCACCTGAGCTGCTCTCAGCGCTTGAGCTCTGTGGTCGCGGAGCCCGGAGGGGGCAGGAGCGAAGTGTGGCAGGGAAGTGGGCTGGCGCCTCGTCTCATGTGGGGCTGGGGGGGGAGGGCCAGGTGCCAGGGAGGCCGTGCTCCCCCAGGGCCACTCCCGGGTTTAGGGGTGTCAAGCAGCATCTGCCTGGGCCAGAGCCACCCCTGCAGCTTTGTCCCTGTCACGCCCCCGTCTTCTGTCATTTGAGTCTCTCCGACTGCCCCAGAGCCTGCTGCACGGTGTGACTGAGCTGCCTCGCAGGCAGCCACGTGGACTTGGCTAGCGTGGCCACCCTGCCCCCAGGACTGTGGCACTGCTGCTGCGTGTGGCGCGTCTCTCTGCACCCCCCCCCCCGTCGACCCGCTTCTGACCAGCAGTCCGTGCACCCAGAGCCTGCGTGTGCGTGCTATCCGCGCCCCGCCCCACGCTGTTGCGCGTGTGTCCGCGGCACCCGGTCGCCATCTGCAGGGCCCTGGCTTGGTCTGGGCCTGGGCTCCTGTGCTCGTCCTCTGGAGTTCAGCCTCTTGCGGAACAGGACAGGCCTTGGACAAGGGATCCTGGTGCCCCTTCCCCTCGGGTGGGCCCATAGTCCGTCGGTGGCTGGCGTGTAGGGGCTGGTGCCCTCAGCTGCGGTTGGGTCTGAGGTCAGCGGCTAGAGGCTCAGAGTGATGAGAGCCAACATGGAGGTGTCACCGTGGACCAGCCAGGAGGACCGGGGAGGGGTCTCTGTTGGGCAGGACCGTGTCTTTCTCAGGCTGAGGCTTGGGAGACAGAACCCAAGGCAGCTCATGTGTTGCTGCTCAAGGGGCTCAGTTAGGGCTGCTTGGACCCCCGTTAGGAGGGGTGGTCTGAGGAGGGTGGGGTCTGTTGCTCCTGTCTCCACACCAGCGCCCTGGCTCATCGGCACGGCTGTAGGCTGCCTGCCCAGAGAGCTGTGTTCTGTTTGGGGCGGGTCCCCCTGCCCCTGGAGCCCTTGGATGCCAAGTGTGGTGGGGTGGAGGCTTGCGCTTTGAGATTGGCTGCAGCAGAGGGTCCTGGCACTCCCGGGCACTGTGGACTGCGGGGATGTGGTGGCCCAAATGCCTCCCAGCGGGGAGCGGCCCCTCCCCTCTGAGGTGCTGGCCGGTGGGGCCCAGGACGCAGTGCCCTGACTCTCAGGCCAGGTGCGTGCAGGGCCTGTGGGGCACTGGCCAGTGTTCACTCAAGTACAAGAGCACTGGGGTGCCTGGCAAACCCCACGGGCACCCCCACTACACAGGTGCTGCTGGTGCGAGGGCAGGAGGGGACCAGGGCAGGTGTGGCCAGTGTGGGTGGTCCCGGCTCTCCAGCTGGGTGTCACAGAGACTGAGAGGAGGCCCAAGCTACCCCCCATCTGAACCAGGCCCTCAGCGGAGTGGACAGCTGGGTGACCCTGGCATACTCTGGGTGGCTGGGGAGGTGGGGAGGTGGGCAGTGGCTCCTGTGGACAGGGCCTGGGCTTCAGGAGGGCCCCGTGTCGTCCCAGAGACACTCTTGAGCCCCATACCAGGGCAGCTGTGTGAAGAGTGCTGTGGGTGTCGTGGCCTCTGCCCTGCATCCAGCCGCGTCCTGAATACTCAAGTGCCACCTGAGGCCAGAGGGTGACAAGCCAGGAGGCCCAGAGGAGGTTACAGAATCAGCCGTCTCCTCCTGAGCGGCCTCCCTGTTCTAGGCAGCACTTCAGGCCTTGTGGGCAGGTCCATGCAGACTCTGGCTCCAGGAGGCCAGCCTGACCACCCTGGGGATGCTATCTCCCACCACTCCCCACCTCGAGCTGGCCTCTGCCATCCATGTGCCCCATACCCCTGCCCTAGGCACAGGCCTGACTGGTGGGCCCTCTCCGAGCCAGCCCTGCCATTTCAGGAACTTGTGCAGAATGCATTCTGAGCTTCCCAGCCATCCTCTTGTCACACGCGTTCACGTTGGCTGTCGCCCTGTTCAGGCGTCCAGCTGGGTGACCCTGCCCGCAGGCTTCTGTCGCCTGCTGCCTGCTTGTGGGGCTGGCAGGGAGACAAGGGGGCTCCGGGGCACATCTGGGTTGGGATGGCAGCAGGGAGAACGGGCCCTGCTCGGTTCTGACCCAGCTGACATATGGGGGTCTTGGCCCCCGGAACGCTGAGACTGTTGGGGGGTGTTGGGGGGTGTTGCAGGAACCGCCTCCTGGAGGCCCCTGTCACCCTGTGTTGCTGGGGCTGATGCGTGCTGGGCTCTGCAGGCCTGTGGCCACGCCGGTGATCTGAGGACGGTGGCCAGCCCAGGCTCCACCCTGCAGCTGCTCAGCCCTGAGCCCGGGCGCTGCTCGGTGGTCTGAGGGCCCGTGGGGCTCTCGAGGGTACCCAGGGCAGGCGCGGGGCTGAGAAGGCAGATGGGCCCACCCTTGAGGAGCTCAGGCTTGTGTGAGTGCACATGCGTGTGCCCCGTGTTTGCCAGGCCGGGCACCCTCAGTGGGCTGTGGCGCGGCACCGCGGGGACCACTGGCAGGGCGGGAAGACCAGCCCTGCGGGCTCAGCATCCAGGCTGAGCACGGGGGCTCGGAGTGGTGGGTCTGAGGCCTGTCCTGGCTGCAGGAGCACAGCAGGGGTGGGAGGCCGGGCCCCCAGCCCCTCCTGACTTACTACAACAGCGGCCTGCGAGCGACCTGCAGAGCTGCCTGTGTCCCCTCACCCAGGCCCTGTGGGAGGGCGGGGCGGCCCTGGCCTGCTTGCCACCCCCAGCCTGCTTCCCAGGGACAGCAAGCTCATGGACCAGCTGTCTGAGAGGTGGCAGTGCAGCCAAATTCTGGGTCCACATGGCACAGGGGTCTGGGGAAGGGGGGTGAGAGCCCACCCAGAAGCCTGCCCCCTCCCCGCAGCAGCATCCAGCATGCTGGGCTTTGTCCCCCAGCAAGCATCACCACCTGGCTCTCTGCCAGCGCCAGACACCGGAGGGCCCCTGTGCTGTGCCTGTCCCCGACAGCGCACGTCCTGCCTCCAGAGGCGGAGCTCAGAGCAGGGGTCCCGGAGGGGCCAGAAGTCTGGAGGGGAGCAGCCCCCTTGTGCCGTCCTCTGAGTGCAGAGGCAGGGCTTTGGGGACTGGGTTCCCAGGGCCGATGACCGCCTTCAGTGACCCTGAAGTGCCCGTGGGACGCTGGGGCTTAGGTCGGGGTCCCTACATACACAGGCTGGCACAAGGGTTTGGGTGCTCAGGTGGGCATCAGAGAAGCAGGTGCCCCACCCGGTCCACCTGGAGCGCAGGAGAGTGAACTGCGCCGGAGGCCGTGCAGCAGGGCCGGGCCGCCCCACCCTTGAATGGCTCAGTCGTTGGCCAGGGGCAGCCGGGGGCCTTGTGTAACCTCCCAGGCATCTCCTGGCAAGGGACAGCCGTGCCCCAGCCCCTGGGGACAATACTTGGAAGGGCAGCTCGGGAGGCCCCAGGGCATCTGCTGACCACCCCTGTGGCCCGGCAGAATGTGGGTTGCCCACTGTCTGCGGGGATGTGGTCCTGTGGACAGGCAGACTGAGCCCCCATCTGTCCCCAGAGCAGCCCAGCAGGGAGGCCTGCAGGGGGAGAGGCGAGGTCCTTCTGCAGACCCCAGTCCTGCCGGGCTGGGCCCTATATAAGCTCCGGCCTTCCTGTGGCCACAGCAGGACCAGAGTGGACAGCACCCAGGGGTGTGGGGGACATTGTCTTACAGGCAGGCAGAGGTTGGTGACTCAACCTGTGGCCACCACGGCGTCTGCTCAGGTCTGTTATCTGAGGGTGACCTTGATCTTTCAGAGAGCTGTGGACACGGCCGCAGGACCAGGATGCCAGGGTGGGCTGGTGGGAGACCTGGGCTGCCCCGTCACTAGGCCTCTGGGGGTCTCAGCGCCCAGGGCCGTGGGGGCACGAGGAGGGCGATGCTGAGCAGAGAGGGGCTTGTGTTCAAGCCATGCCCAGGAGCGGGTCCCACCGAGTTGGGCCAGGTTTCTGGGGTGGGAGGGGTCTGGCTGCAGAGCATAGACAGGGAGCATCCCGGGGCGCGTCCCTGCCAGTGCCTGGGTCCCAGCATGGGGGTGCAGGGTTGGGGAGTGATTGCTTAAAATTCCCTGGTGGGGAGCAACAGCCTCTGTGCCCCTGGGCAAGGCCTTGGGCCGACTCCCTGGTGGGGACACCCCTGGAATGGGTGTGCAGTGGGGTCTGTGCTTAGCTGGTGGGGGGGACAGGACGGTCTGGTCACTTGGGATCCTGGACCCCCACCTGGTGGGGGTCACTGCTCACAGGGCTGGGGCCACACTTGGGTCCCCCTCAGCTCAGTACAGGGGACTCAGGCCCAGCTGGGAGTGCTCTGTCCACCTCCTGCCCAAGACCTGGGCACAGCAGGACTCAAGTCACTGGCGGCTGACACGCCCCCACCCCTCCCTGCCACGGTGGCATCACTGGGTCACCCTGGCCTCTGCATCCCGAATCTGAGCTCCACTCCCAGCCCCCTTTGGGTTCCCTGTTGCCCCGGCCCTCGCGGCTGCCACAGGGACTCGGGCCATTCATTCCTCCCGTGGCCCATGTGCCTGCGTGCCCCGGCCTCAGAGCCACCCTGCCCACGGCACATTCCCCACACCCCCCGCTGGCACCCCCAGACCCACCTGCCTCCCACTGTCACCAGCGGGTCTTGCTCCCTTCAGCCAGGTCTCCGATCTCCCTTC